AAATAAAACAGAATCATATAAAACAATAAAATAAGATGAGATGAAATTAAATAGAATCATATAATACAATAAAATGAGGTGAGATAAAATAAAATAATATCGAACAATGAAAATATAAATACTAAAAAATATAATATAACTATTCAAATCTAATTTCATTACGATTTTCTAAGAATGAGCATGTATTAGCCGTATACGACCATATACGGTAGTCATTGACCTCTGTATACGGTGTAAAGAAGTTTATCTTTCAAATACTCCGTGTTGTTTCACGACCTCCATATATCTCAAAAATTTTTCGAAATATCAATCAAATTACTGCAGAGTAAATTTCGCCGCCGTATTTCGCGTTAATTATTTAAGTTTTAAATGCTCTTCAGAGTTCTATATTACAGTTTTAAGCACAAAAACGAAAAACGATACTCACCTCTCAACTGATTATTAATCCAGAAAAACTAAAATCTGATTTTCTGGCAATATTTGTTTTATATGAGTAGGAAAAAGCCATAACTGTGGGTGCATATAAATCATCTTGAGGATGTAAATTTTCTCTTTATCACGCATTCATATCTACAAGTTTTATTTTTAGAGAAAAATAGGTGTGGGTGTAGATATGAGTAGAATACAACCACACCTTCAGAATCTGCATACCTAATCGTTAAACTTATCGGATAAGATCCAATGAATCAAATCGATCCATTAGATTTGCCATCAATTTATTTTTATCTCAAACGTAACTTTCATTAGAAAATAAAAAAGATCAATACGATTGAAATTTTTCAACATGCAAAAATTCCATGAAAATATCAAATCAAATCAGTTCCAGTAAGATAAATTTGCAGCTATATGATTCTAAAAATTTTCTTTTCAATTTTAAGACCAATAAAATATTCGTGTATAAAATATTCTTCAATAGGCAATCCAATGTCATTAGAATCGGAAGGAAAAAAATCATATATTCTGTAGTTGTGTATGAAATATATTCGAACTTTGAAAGAATAATTCTCTCATGTTTTTCCAATAAAATATTATAAGAAAAAGAAATTATCCATTTGGTTGGGTAAATTTTTCTAATATAATCATATAGGAGATACTGTTTTCTTTTCTCAGAACGTTTGTATTGTTTTATTCACATGTAGTTCTCTTTTTGTGAAGTAACGTAGTTTAATTAAAACAGACCTAAATGTTTTGAGAAACTTTTTGTTTCTATCATGTCTTTTTTTTTGCATGCACCGTACCAACATGTAAATGAAAGAAAAACAAGACAAGTGTTTACTGGATGAATACTCTTCATTGAAGAAAAGAAAATGAATATCTGTATTTATCAATTGATCTTTTTCCTTTATCGATTCATTGAAACATTACTAGGACGCATATTCGTTAATCTTTGAACAAAAAAAAATTTTAATATAATTCGTATTTCTCTTTGTATAAAGTTAATAATTAAATGTTTTCTATTATACACAACATCCATTAAAATCATTAATTATGAACATCAAACTGTTGTTTTATGATAACTTTAAATACTTCTAACTATATTAAGAATATATAATTTATCTTCTTGTATAAAGAAAATGTTCTATTCTCGAAAATCAGTTTATGATATTAATTCGATTTTATAATCAAGAATTGTTTATACAACGAAATTGTTTAGTTATATACTGTAATAATGATGAATATATTTGTTAATTAGATTAGAAATATATTATGTAAAATAACCATTCTTTGTCTTATCCTGAAGCTGATATTTAGGCAAAGAAAATTAATTTTTTTACGAAAACCATACACACTTTTATTAATGCGATCAATTCATATAATTGAAAACAAAAGATATTCATTGATTCTGCAAATGCTTATATTATTATCGAATCAAACTTATCTTATACATATTTTGTATATTTTCAAGGAAGTATTCCCACTATAGACACTAGAATCAAACAAAGAAATCTCTCAAATTATTAATTTAAAAAATACAAATAAATATAATGTTTATTAAGTATTAAACAATAAAATTAGATATTTTTCTTTGTTTAATTTGATTAATTGTTAACGTCTTAAATTAAAAGTAGAAATATTTCTTTCATTTATTCAGAATAGATAAGAAGCTAGAAATAATTTTACTTTCTCTTATTAATCTATAAATAACTGAAGGAAAAAGTTAAATAATATAATATTCGATTTTATACAACAAAATAGAGATTCGGAAATTACTTTTTTTCGTGGTATAACACATAATAATCCAAGGTGAAAAAAGAAGAGACGCCACGTTAATACTTTAGAACGACGTTTTTTCGTTCTGTTTTGTTTTTCTTCACAATAAGCTACCAAGTCATGTTTTTACATACATATATTCTGTCGTTGCTAAATCGAAGTAATATTGTTGTTTTTGACGTCGTTTCATTTATTAATAATACGTGTCTTCAACAATGTGCGTATTATTTAAATAAAAAAAAGATTTGTCAACTAAATCATGTTTTCGTCAATTAATGAAAAAAAATCTGCATATGAAATAAATTAAATATTTTCGTATGAATAGTTACGTTTATTAAAAGTAAATGAATCTTTTATATACTGATTCTTTGTATTTGTAATAAAGATATATTTTCTTTTTTTTCTTCTTATTTTGAGTGTTGATTAAATAAAATTTCTTTACATATCATCCGGAATGAAGAAAAAATGCAGAATCTGTATTAATATACAAATGATTATGTCTAAAAAAAGACTCTCAATTGTAGAGCAGTACAAATATATACTTAAACAAAAATGTGAACGATAATCTTTTTTGGAAGAAAAGAAAAGTTGAAATAATTTAAAGGAAATAAATATCATTGATAGAATTATTTAACAACTATTGAATATTTTTATAGAAACATAAATGGTTATTGAATTGTTATTAAACTTTAATTTATAATTTTCTTTAGTTTTTCATTTCTGTTATTATCTGTTATATTTGGTTTTTTAAAAAGAAGCAACGAATTAAATTCTTATAGATACTTTTTATTTACATAATGACGTTTGTTACTAATGGAAAATATTTAGATGATCGTTGAAAACCTAATAAAATCATCCTTGAATTGTCTGAGAGTATTTGCAAGAAGATGTAATGGAATGACCTGACAATTTACAATAGTACTTGAAATGCATTTGATTTTTGTATCTCTTTGATTATAAAAATGATCGTTAACAAAATCATATTTATCTCTTTCGAAATTACCTTATATGGAGTTGTTTTTCGTGTATATGTATCTCGTCACAAATGTGATTGATGGGGAAACGCCGATACTTAAGACAGAAGAAAAAGAAATAAAAATCGTATCATTAGAATGTATGTATTTTTTATTTCGAAGTCATTAATCTTGTCATTTTATTCTTTGTCGATATTATAGAGATAATCGTATACATTATATATGTGCATCAAATTGTCATATGATTTTAAATCTTATGCGTAGGATTTATATGACTATAATGTTGTTTTGACGTTATTTATTTCGCCAATAAAATATTTTATATATATATTTCAGTCGCACAATGACTCAACATATATAAAAAAAAAGGTATTCATTAGATAATAATCTTATTGATCAATGAGAATAAATACTCAGACGAAAAAGTAAATGATACGTATACTGTAAATTCAAATAGGGGTAAATATCATCTTTTTTTGAAAATAATATTAAAGGAAATGCATATTATTCGTCAAAGCATTTGAGAATAATTAGTTATTATTATTTGTAACGTGTTAGCTTTTGTTTTTATAAGATAATAGATTTTTATCTATAATTTTTTTTCCATTTTCGTTTCGTTTTGGTTTCATATACCATCTTTCCTATTTTTTTGTTGAACAGAAGCCAGGAGCAATCGTCTTCTCTAGTAATTATTATTTTTACTGGCTACATACAAAATTATCGAAACTAAAACTAATAAGGTCAAAATGATCTTTAGAGTAAATTTGTACGACAGTCTTCAGTGGAAATAAAATAATTTCCTATTAGAAATTAATGAGCAAATGAGTTAAGAAGAGAACGATATGAATCAACAGAGTGTCAATACAGCTTTTTACTTTGACCACTTACTTATGGGTATCCAAAAGTAGTCAAGTCAATCAAGTCAGTTCGAGAAAAAAGAAGTTATATATCGGCTCAAACTATTTTCTACATAGATATTTTTTTTATTTGTCAATGTTTTGCGTTTTAATTTAATGACAGGGCTCAAACTGTTTCAAATAGTGTATCTATTCGGGACAGTTTGAATTTTTTCTGTAGATTAAGAAGCAATTCGTAGATAAATTTTTCAGACATTTCATATTCTAGATTAAAACTATTAAACCAATTGATCTATTCTTTTAGAAGTTTTTTTATTTGTCAAGAATTTCCAGATTTTCCTCATTTAAAGAACATAATCATCAACGCAAAAGGTAATTGATAGAAAATTTGTTCTAAAAACTGTCATTTGTTAAATATAATTTATTTTACTATAGATGAATGAAAACTGTATGGATGATGGTGCTATCAGAGTTACGCATTCATTTACACAACAAGATATTCAAGTCGATAATGTGCAAAATGAGAACTCAACACAAAATCAGACTAGTGCAACAAAATCTGTCGGTGTTACTAAGAAAATGAAGAAGTTGCCAATGACTCCAACAGCTTTGTATATCATTTCCTTTTCATCTCAAACATTATAATATATATAGAATATATTTTCATTAGGAAACATTCGTGTTGGTCAAGACATCGAACTGCAACAGCTGTGGGTATATTTGCTCTCTTCACAAGTCTAGCAATGATTGTTAGTATATTGGTGGTTTGCTTCACCTCACCGAAAGCAAAAGGTATGTTCTGATTTTTTTTCATATACCAACTACATGTATGATATAAATTTATTCTCACTTATTATATTATCTTATAGAACTTTTCTCTTCATAGTAATAGTACGATATAATAATAGATAGAACTAGTGTATTTCTTTGAGGAAGAAGAGTTTTCATCAATCGATAAACATCTTATTATGTTCTGTGTGTTATTTTTCATTGTTGTCACATAACAGAACTAATAGTCATTTGATTTCATCCACCACAGTTGAAGAATTTTTATCATTGTATTGAATTTGCAGCTAAGAATAGTTTACAAAAGAAATTGCTTGATTAAGAAGTAATGTAGCTTAAACAGATAGTGTGAGCCACTAATATCATTTCTTCTTTCTGGAAAACACCGTGTTTTTTTTAACAATTTTTACAGTAAACAAAAGAAAGTGAATAGATATGTATGATATCTACTTAGTATTTGAGTGTTCAAAGACTACCTAAGATTCTATGAATTCAATAAGAATAATTACATCATAAAAACTGATTAACTTTTACATTATTTATCTTTTTTATTTAGTTCAACAGTGTAAACTGAAATTCATACAAACTCCTCAAAACCCAATTGACTATAACCTTGGTCTTCGCTCTGCTGCCCTTGGCAATTTCGATGATGACGAGTTGTTCGATGCTGTTGTTGCCAATCATCTCGTTGATAGTATATCTGTATTTCTTGGATATAATAATAGTGTTTTTTCAAGTAATATGACGTATTCGACCGGTTTACATTCTGCTCCATACATGGTAGCCATCGGTGATTTTAACAACGATCACCACACGGATATTGCTGTTGCATATTTCGGTACTAACAGCATTGGTATATTTCTCGGATTTGGAAACGGTTCTTTTACTAATACAACAGTAATTTCAACTGGTTCATCTCGTCCAATCTGGATACATCTAGTTGATCTCGATAATGACAGATCACTCGATATCGTTACAGCTAATTATGGAACTGATAGTATTAGCATATTTTATGGATCTGGAGATGGACGTTTTGCATATTCGATGACAAATTCAACCGGCTATGATTCTTCGCCATTCTCGGTCATCAGTGCGGATTTTAACAATGATAATCATTTAGATCTTGCTATTGCCAATTATGGTACAAATAATATAGCTATAATTATTGCAAATGGTAGCAGAACCTTTTTACATCAACAGTTACTTTCAACTGGAATTAATTCCCATCCATATTCACTCATCATTGGTCATTTTAATGATGACAGTTTATTAGATATTGCTGTCTCTAATCATGGAACTAACAATGTCGGTGTATTTCTAGGTGACAACAACGGCAATTTTACCAGTCAAACAACATACTCGCTTAATACTTCTTCACCATATTCTATTGATCTTGGTGATCTCAACAAAGACAATCGACTGGATTTAGTCGTCGGTAATAAGGGTACTAATAACATAGGTGTATTACTAGGACTTGGCAACGGCAGTTTCTCTGAACCAACAATGTATTCAACTGGTTCTGCTTCTTCAACCACAGTTGCTGTAGTTGATTTCAATAAAGACAATCTACTAGATGTTATTATCATTAGCAATGATACTGACAATATAGGTATCCTCTTTGGTTATGATGAAGGCTTTCAACCACAAACTACGTATTCAGCTGGCACTTATCCATCTTCTGTAGCTGTTGGTGATTTCAACAATGACAATCGACTGGATATCGTCGTTACCAATCTAGATGATAACACTATAAGTGTACTTCTCGGTTATGGCAATGGTTCTTTTACCAATCAAACTACATATTCAACTGGTCCTCGGCCATCTCGTGTAGCTGTTGGTGATTTCAATAATGACACTCGACTGGATATCGTTGTTGCCAATCAGGGTGACAACACTACAAGTGTACTTCTCGGATACGGTAATGGTTCTTTTACAAATCAAACTGCCTATTCAACTGGCCATCTGCCATCTTCTATAGCTGTTACTGATTTCAACAAGGACACTCGATTGGATATCGTCGTTACCAATCTAGATGACAACACTACAAGTGTACTTCTCGGTTATGGCAATGGTTCTTTTGCAAATCAAACTACATATCCAACTGGTTCTTCACCATCTTCTGTAGCTGTTGGTGATTTCAACACTGACACTCTACTTGATATCGCCGTTGCCAATCAGGGTGACAAGACCGTAAGTGTACTTCTCGGATATGACAATGGTTCTTTTGCAAATCAAAATACCTATTCAGCTGGCTTTGTTCCATCTTATGTAGCTGTTGGTGATTTCAACAATGACACACGCCTGGATATCGTCGTTACTAACTATGGTGACAACACTGTAAGTGTACTTCTCGGATATGGCAATGGTTCTTTTGCAAATCAAACTACATATTCAGCTGGTATTAAGCCATCTTCTATAGTTGTCGATGATTTCAACAATGACACTCGACTGGATATCGTCGTTACTAATTTCGATGACAGCACTGTAAATGTACTTTTCGGATATGGCAATGGTACTTTCGCAAATAAAATTAAGTATTCAACTGGTCCTCGGCCATCTTCTGTAGCTGTTGGTGATTTCAACAATGACACTCGGCTAGATATTATTGTTGCTAATGAGCTTAACAACACTGTAAGTGTATTGCTTCATTATAGTAAAGGATCTTTAGGAAACGAAATAAGATTTGCATCTGGTGGTAGTTCTCGTCTACAATATATTGCTATTGATGATTTTAACAATGATACGATGTTGGATCTTGTCGTCGTTAATTATGGCACTAATGATATAGGTGTACTTCTTGGAAGTGGTAGTGGATCATTCTCAGAGCAGAAAACTTTTCCAACAGGCTCAAATCCAGATTCACTTGCCATAAGTGATTTCAATAACGATGGTCATAAGGATTTTGCTATAGCTAATTATGGTTCTAAAAACATTGATATGCTTGTTGGAAATGGAAAGGGAACATTTACACGTCAAGTAACTGATGGATCTAGCTTGTCTTTCGCTCCGGTAGTTGTTACTGCTGGTGACTTCAACACTGATGGACAATCAGAAGTTATTGTTGCATATGATAATACTGATAATATAGATATATTTGTTGCATTTGATACTGGTGCTTTTACCAATCAAATTACGTATTCAACTGGCTCTGGACCCTTTTCTGTAGCTCTTGGTGATTTCGACAATGACACTCGACTGGATATCGTCGTTGCTAATCTCGGTGACAACACTATAAGTGTACGTCTCGGATATGGTAATGGTTCTTTTACAAATCAAACTACATATTCAACTGGCGCTGAGCCACGTTTTGTAGCTGTTGGTGATTTCAACAACGATATGCAACTAGATATCGTGGTTATTAATAGAGTTGACAACACTGTAAGTATACGTCTGGGATATGGCAATGGTTCATTTGCAAATCAAACTACGTATTCAACTGGCTTTAGGCCGGTTTCTGTAGCTGTTGGTGATTTCAATAATGACACTCGACTGGATATCGCCGTTGCTAATTATTATGACAGCACTATAAGTATACTTCTCGGATATGGCAATGGTTCATTTGAAAATCAAACTACGTATCCAACTGACTTACTGCCAAATTTTGTCGCTGTTGGTGATTTCGACAATGACAGTCGGCTTGATATCGTCGTTACTAGTTATTTTGGCAACACTGTAGGTGTATTTCTCGGATATGGTAATGGTTCTTTTACAAATCAAACTACATATCCAACTGGGTATGAGCCAACTTCTGTTGCTGTTGGTGATTTCAATAATGACACTCTACTGGATATCGTCGTTACTAATAATATTGGCAACACTGTAGGTGTATTTCTCGGATATGGCAATGGTTCTTTTACCAATCAAACTACATATTCAACCGACGCTGAGCCATTTGTTGTAGCTGTTGGTGATTTCAACAATGACACTCGACTGGATATCGTTGTTGTTAATTACGTTGGCCATACTGTAAGTATACTTCTCGGATATGGCAATGGTTCTTTTGCAGATCAAACTACATATTCAACTGGCTCTTGGCCAACTTCTATAGCTATTGGTGATGTCAACAATGACACACGACTGGATATCGTCGTTACCAATTCAAACGACAACACTTCAAGTATATTTCTTGGTTATGTGAATAAGGTTTTTCAATACCAAATGACACTTATGACTGGTAACAAGTCTGTTCCGCGATCATTAATCGTTGTCGATTTCAACAATGACACTTATATGGATATTGCTGTCGCGAATTCAGGCACCAATAATATTGGTATTTTTCTAGGATTTGGTAATAGTTCTTTTTTAAATCAAATAACATTTGCAACTGGCTCTGGTCCATGGTCTTTAGCTGTTGCTGATTTAAACAACGATAGTCGATTAGATATTATTGTGAGTAATATTAATGATAGTAATATCAGTGTGTTTCTTGGTTCTGGTAACGGATCTTTTGCAAATCAAACAATATATTCAACTGGTAGTGATTCTGAACCATACTCAGTTGCCATTGGTGATTTTAATAATGACGCTTTATTAGATATTATTGTCGCCAATTACCGTGCTGGTAATGTAGTTATATTGTTTGGATCTGGTGGTGGTAGATTTACAGATTCAAAAGTATATTTAGTTAGTTATGGATCTTTTCCGTTTTTCGTTGTTGTTGGTGATTTCAACAATGATACAAAATTAGATTTTGCGGTTGCTAACTATGGTACTGACAATTTAAAGGTTTTATTACAGACTTGTTAATTTATCTCTCTAACTTTAAACATTTTTATTTTTCTATATTATGCGTTTGCTATTACTAATATTTCTTATAAAAAAATTTTATGTCTTACTTTAATATATATATATATATTCGATTAGTTAGAATTATGTATTAAATATGTTCATAAATAAGATACCTAGAGGAAGTTATTCCACAGGAGTGCGACCTAGAACTACTTTTGTGGAACTATAGAGAGCGCAAGCTTCATGTACGCATAGAACAGACTTGAGAGTGGATATTGATGAAGAATAACTATAACATGTGTACATCCACATATTGATTATGTTGAAGAATTGCTTTTGGATACAAGAATCGTTTCTGTTGTGCTCAATTACAATGTCTTATAATAAAAGAATCATTGATATTTTGTTTTACTGTAATAGAACGTTGTCTGTAAATGATTTCATTATAAACAATACTCGCATAAGCGTTGATAATAATATTCAATGTTCTCCAGTTCATAAATTCTCTGTGACTTTAGAAAGGGAAAAATATTAAATTTTGGGAGAAACAGAAAACGAAAGAAGAACATTTTATTTGTCACTAATAAAATATTGCATAATCGATTTTCCACATGTTCATTATCATAGTAAAGTTTTACACAACCAACGTTCATCTCTTGAAATTGGAGAACAAGATGATAAAAATATTCGGCTCTTTTCTCTCTTTGGATGAACACGTGTTTATGATAAGAGATGTACTAATAGAACAGATTTATTGAAAAACAAAATTTTTTAATGATAAATAAATCCGATAATCCTAAAGGTGTGGATGTAGGTTTTTTATTCATTTCACACTCATACACTCGCTTCCCCCACACACATCATTATTAGATTAAATACTAACTGTCGTGCGAGCACTTGGGTTGGCGATCTAAATTTGACGTTACTACTATTATTCAACTATTTAATATATAATTATGAAATTTTTTTCTAAATGTTTTTTGAATCCTTATCGATATTGTCGTCTCAAACTTCTTTCTTTATTAATGTTTCAGATGAACATAAAATTAAAGATTATATTTATGTATTTAATTTACAAATATGTTTTGTCTTTAACCAATAGTTTTAAGTTTTTCTAAAAAAAAAAAATTACTCTCAGAGATACTATCTAAATATTGAATGGCTATGTAATCATCATCATTTGTTCTTAAGAAAGAACTCTACTATACAAATAGAGATAAAAATAAAAACTTTACTTGTATCTAGGGTGCAGTTACGAAAATCATAAGTATTTTTAATATTCGATTTTATTTTAGAACTGATACATTTATTGACGTTCGTTTTTTTTCTATCAATTCCAAAATATTCGTTTGATATCCTTTGAAGAATACTTATATTTCTGTTACTCTATTGCTCTTTTTAATAATGAATACTTGAAAAATCAAATATATAGACTGATTTGTTTTTATTAATTAATTCATTGTGTATTTATATGTATAACGTAGATATCTATCTTAACTATTAATTAACGATATATTTGTGCTTGTTAAATAACATACTAAAACTTGATATTTTCTTTTATAAATACATTCATTTGTGTGAGATTACTACATCAAAACCCAATCTATAATGTACATATTATTTAAAAGTATATATGTGTACATAAAAATGCAAAATAATAACAACAGACACGCACGTTTCAGACAAAATATTAAGTAGAAGACAAGCATTCGTAATTGTTATTCAGATTAAAAAAATCATCAACATCAGAAAAACAAACAAAACGAAAACATTGATGGTCAATAGTAATAATATCAAAAACAAAATAGATGTCATTTGATATAAAGAACATATACATAATAAAAATACTAATACGATTGTTTGCTAAGAATTATATTCTTTTTATTTAACAGTTGTTGTTACTTTTTTTTGTCCACCTGTTGTTGATTTTTTCATTATATTTACTTGTGATGTTGGAACAACAACTGCTTTCTGTTGTGAAGTATGTGTATTATGTTTTAATGCTTGAATACGTCGTGGATTTTTAACACAACCATCAACTTCCATTAAATGATCACGCCATGATTGATCCCCTTCAGGTATATTCGTATGACATAATGGACAACGACTTGTATTTGGTTGAGTTTCATGACATTCTTTAAGTTTAATATGAACATCAAAATCATTTCCTATTGCTTCTGAACATCGAGGACATTGTTGATATTTTCCTTTCTTTTCACATTCACGTAATAGATGTTCAACATAAATACCTATTTCAACTACCTAAAGTAAATGAATGATATACAATTAAGAAGACAAATGAATTCATCAAAAAGAAAACAAACTTGATTGCATTCTTGACATCGTCGTAACATAGGACAATTTGTCCAATAATGTTGTTCGAGACCATCACGTACAAAATCTTCATTTTTTTCACCGCAAAAAATACATGTACTAAACAAAAATATGTTTTTTACAATACTTATAATGACTTTCACTTACTTTTCTGGTGTAAACTCGGATTCATCAGCCACACTAGTTGTTGGTGTTTTTCGATCGAATCTAGTTGGTGTTCGAGATTTACTTCTTGTTGATTTTCCATCAAACTAAATAGCAAAAAAAAAGAATCAATCAACTATAATATTGTTTCATTTATAATTTTTTACAGATTTTTGTTGTTCACGAGCAGTATGTTGTTGTTTTTGACTATCACGTTTTCCAGTTTCTGATACTCCAACTGATTTTCTTCCAGTTTCAGACGGATCCGTCGTTGTTATCTAATAACAAACATATACAAAAACGTTTAGTTATTAATTATATACAATAATAGTTTTTTTTATTACCCCATCCATTCGATCGAATGCATCAAAAATATCACGGTATTTTTTAATTCGACGTGTTTGATCATTATCAGGTGGAAGATAACGTTTTACAATTGCTCCATCACTCTACATATATATGTACTTAATGAATTAAACATATATTTACACTTTAAATCATTATACCTTATATAAATTGAGGAAAATTTTCATAGCTAATTCTCGTACTTCACCGGCTACAAATAAAATATTCAAGAAAATATTAAATTATAAAATACATATATATATGCAATTTACCATTATGTTCAAGTGCTTGTGCACAAAATTTACTAACATTATCAACATTTAAACCATTATCACCTGCTTTAACATCGAATATTTTCATTAATTCTTCAATAAGTTCACATCGACTAATAGCTAATCTAGGTGCACATGTTTTATTAAATGGTGAAACACAATAATGTGGTATAACATGTAAAGGTTTTAATTCTGGATATGATGCTGATTCAATAATAGCTTCTTGTGCTCGTTGTCTCAAACGAGCATTTGAATCACCTGTACGTTGTAATAAAACAGGTAAAACACGTTCTAAACTAGCAATAATATCTTGTTTTTGAATCGAATGTTGTCGTACATAATCATTCATTAATAAATGAAAAAGTTTAAGTGAATGAGAAAATGTTGCAAGAACATCAAAACGAAACATTCGAGCAACAACAAAACTACCAGCACGTAAATAAGCTCGAGCATCTTCATGATCACCAGAAAATGATTTTAATATTTGATATATTTCATCTAAAGCTTTTTCACGTTCTTCATGATTTCGATGATAAAGTTTACCAATCTTAAATAAAGATTCATTTCTTTTTGCTATGACTAAAGTATTATATCTTACCAATTGTTTATCAAAAACAATCATCATTTGATTAGCTTCAATCATTTCAGCTTGATTTAACCCAGCAGTTGCATCATCATTTGATGCTACATTTGTTCCACCATACATACTTTCTGTTTCTTCATTATTTATTCCTCCAATATCAGTACTTCCCATTACTGAACCATGACCATGTCCGCCATCAGTACGATTACGATTTCGTAATGTTGGAACAACTTTATCTTCATAGGGTGTAGGTGGTTTCGGGAAATCGGGTGATACGTAACCACCACTATTTCCACCGACACCAATACTTGTACGACGTGTTGTATTCCCATGTCCTGGTTGTATAGATGTTGATGATTCATGCATAGTTTGCGGTCCATTATAAGATACATTTGATTCTGGTGAACGACGAGTTTGTACTGTATTACGAGTGCGTTCTAAAGAAAATAATTTATTATGAAAATAAAATTAATTTTATAATGAATTACTAGAATTTTGTTGTTTTGGTATATGAGGAGTCTAAAATGAAGAAAAAAATTAATATATAGTCAAAATTTCTATTTACCTCCTGTTTAAACTCATTTTGATGTTGTTCATTGTTTACAATTTCGTGTAAACGTTTTAAAAAGTCAGTTCCTTTACCATTTTCCTATAGTATTTATATAGATAGAAGATGAATGAATATATATATTCATATTAAATTATTATTTTTCTCCATACTTACGATAACAACATCAAGAAGATTTAGTACTTGTAATTGTCTATATGTTTCAGCACGATAAAGTTCCATTTTATCTTTTTTTAATTGTGCTATATCATAATCTTCATTCTAATTGAAAAAGAAAAACAACATATTTTCTATGGTTTCATTTTACAATTAATCAAAAAAAAGAAAGAAAGAAATATATTATAGTTTACTTCAATAGCTTGTCGTTTTTCCACCTCATAACGAGCAAGACGTTCTCCAACCTAGAATAAATTTAAAATATCTTATGAAAATCATTCATCTTTATGTACTTTTATTAATTCTTGTGTAGCTTGTTTAAATTTTCGAGCTTGGTCAAATTTTTCATCTAGAAATTAAAAATAATGCGTAGAAAATAGTGAAGTTTTTCTAATATTGTTTTTCTTTACCACGAACACATTCTTGTTTCTTTCGATCGAGATTTTTTATAATTGCAGCTATTTCAGGATCTTGATACATAGCAAATGCTAGATCATCTATGATTGAGATCTGATCCGATCTTAAAAATTATATTTCAAAAGAAAGAAATATTTTATTTAATACATGAAAAAAATATAATTAATCTACCTGGTTGTTGTCGTCTCTGGTTGATTTTCACTGTTTTCATGGAACTACATAAACATACATCGATTAAATAAATTATCAGAAAATTTTGATTAGTTTTACTTTGTCAATATCGTCACCGAGTACATTGATTGCAACAATGCTTACCTTAAAGAAATACGGATGAATATTTCAGTCCTTCTCGAAAAATTAACTTTTACTTGATTATAGAAATTCGATCGATTAGAATAATTTTTATGTATAATTAATTTTAAAAACATTCCTTCAGCATCCACATGTATTGACTTAAGTTCTCGTGCTTTAAACTCTGTTCGTTCATTACTCGATAATTCAATATATCTTAAAAACAAAAAACAAACTATTTTTTTATTATCAACAAAAATTAGATTCAATTATTTACCCAAGACGAGTATAACGTGCATTTTCAAGTATTACACTATCATCAGAAGTACAATCTCCAAGAAAAAATTCAATTTTTGATGCTAAAAATATTTTCATAGAAGATTTCTATTTCAATAAATTATTTTTTACCAATTAAAAACTGATGAGCAAGTAATTGTACACGTCTAAGTCGTACAGCATGTTCAAATTGTAGAATAAGTTCTTGAGGATATGAACAAAACCGACTACTTTGCCAACCTTTAACTAATGGTCCATGATGATTTAATTCACTAGCAGGATATTGTTCATCAGAACTTGATGAATAAACAACTTGAAAATGAATTTTTCTTGGCATTGATTTTTTTTTCTCAATATTTTATATCTTCAAATAAATAGAGTTACTTCAAACGCGCTTCGGCATTATTCGTATGAAATGGAATTTTTTCTCTTAGTTATATCCTCTACATGTTTTTAAAAATTAAAGAAGATGTCAGTAATGTACTCTCTGATTCGTTCAAAAGAGGTCCTTTGTTCTTTTGCGGGCATTTCAATATTCTATTATTCATTCAGTCGAAATATGGCTGAAGGTTCACGTGTATTAACTTTTGATGACTATATCGAAGCATTACATGTAAATCTTAATAAATCCGATAAAATACCCGATGTTGATGAACAATGCGCATTGCTTATTGCTGGTTTGGCTGGAGCTTATTCTGAACAACCGTCATCCATGCAAACAGGTAAAATGAAAAAAAAAATTTCGATAAAAATTCATTCATTTAATATTCAATTTTATTTCAGCTATGTGTTTATCAGCATTATTCTGTGGACAACAAAATATTTTAACATTTCTTCGACGTGCAAGTTCAAAAACTGAAGTATTATCTAACATTCTTTTTCCCAAAAAATCATGTCATTTTCATTTTATTTAGTTAAAAACATCTAAAACTCAAATTCTTCAATTTTTAAAATTTTTTGTTGAAACTGCCGCAAACAGAATTCTTCCGCATGCTGTAGAACTTAAATCAGCTCTATTGACAGTTTTTAATGTTGATAATGCATCAGATATTCGTGCAGCTGTCTTTCCTATTCTATCACAAGTGAGTTTTGACAGATAATTATATCATTTTGTCATATTAAATATTTTGATTTTGTAGTTAATGGAATTAAGTGCTGGATTTCCAGATATGGAAAGTGAAATTGATAAAATGGCTACGACATTCCTTAATTTAATTGGATTACAAAGTTCGACAACAACAGCTACAAGTATATTGATTATTTCTATATAAATAAATTGTATTGTATTTTGTTCATTTAGTTAAAGGACTTTCTTTAGCATTTTTGGGTTTATTATGTAAATATTTTCCTGCACATATGCGTAAATATGCAGATCCACTTCTCCTTGGACAATACTTAAAATATTTACATGAACAAGTATGTATATCTTGCATGAAAGATCTAAGAAGAATTAATTCTTTCAAATTATAACTAATAATTGATTATATTTAGTTAGTAAAAGATAATGTTAAATTTGAAATGTTAATTGCTGCTGGTGCTATGGAAGGTCTTATTTATTATCTTGTTAATTTTACTCCATCATCAACTACTGGTAAAATTTATCTTAAAAATAAAAACTATTCATTTATATATATGTATGTCTACAGTTCAACAGACACCACTAATACGAACTAAAAGTAAAGAAACTGATAAACATATACAAGAACAACAAATTATAAGTGAATCAGATTTAAAACGTGTATATATATATGCATCACGTGCTATACAAACACAAGAGCAAACTAATTTAAATCGATATGCACTTGTTAAAGGTAAAGGAAATATTCTTTCCTTTTATATGAATACATTAAAAAAAACCATTTTCTCTTTTTTTTAAAGCTGGGTTAGAATTATTTGCTCAACATTCAACTTTATTTACTGAATATCTTTATGATGATTATAAACAGATACTTGATTGTATTCGTGCATGGAATGCACATGATAATTATGATGTGAAAAAAATAGCACAACGTGCTTATGATACATTTTTGCTTGGAGTAAAATTTGATTAAATGATATGCTTCTCTTTTTTTCTAATTCTCGTATTTTGTTTCATATTATTAGGTTGCTAATGCTTTAAAAGAACCAAATATTAAAACCCCAGAACAACGACATCGTGCTGTTGGAATATTTCAATATTTTATTCAACACTTTCGAAATAAAGTTGATTCACCAGAATTAGAAATTCGAGATTTAGCAATGGGTATACGTGGTTATGGTATTTTTGCAAACGTAAGAATTATAGTATTATTAGAGTAACGAAATCTATCCAAAAATTAGAAGAAGATACCCTAATCGAATCATAATTTACTTTCATATTGTATTAGATTGTATACCATATTTATGAGAAAAAAGCCGTTTTTTTAAATAAATATATAATTTGTTATATAGGCTTGTAAACTTTATGGTACGGAAGAAGATGTTAAATTTATGTTTGTTGGTTTAATTCAACGTTGTGAACAAATAGCGATGCCAACAATAACATTGTCACAAGCAGCAGATGTATTTGATGAACGTTTTTATGCATTACCTAATCTTCTCGATGCACTTTCTGCTATTATTATTGAAATGACAAATGTAAGATTAGATAAAATAAAAAAGAATTTTATTTAATTAAAAATTTTTTGATTAGATTGGTGAAGAATTTCTTGGACCACTTGAACGTTTAACTATAATGACTATTGATTATTATCCACGTTATCAACCAAAACCACAAGCAACAACATGTTCATCTGTTATAAAAATGATTTTAGCATTACAAACTAAACCAACATCTTATAAACCATTTCTAACACGAATTGGTAGATAAAATAAATAAAATTCATATAGTTTTATTTTCATTATTCTTTATTTAGTAAGCCAAGCAATTATTCGTTGTTGTTCACATCCATTAAAATCCACTGTTGAACAACAATTGGAAGATGTTGAACCAGATATACCAGATGAAAAAGCTAAATCTCTTCTTGCAATTGGGAAAACAATAACATATGAGAATTATATTCCACTATGGAAAACAATTTTAAATGTAACTTCATTGAAAGAATTTGATACACCGACATATCCAATATTTGATCGACAAAATATGCTTGTTTCATTATATGATGAAATGATTGATTCAATTTTACATATTATTGATCGGCTTGATCTGAGTGTTGATAAAGAAAAAACTCAAGTAAAATAAATCTTTTTATTTTTCAATTTATAGTAAAGAATCTTTTATTAGAATGAAAATGATGATGGTACAACTACAACTGATCCAATATTTGGAATGAAACCTGTTAAACCAAAAGATTTTGAAATCTTTTATAATCTTGTCGATTTTTGCCAGTAAGAATACATTTCCAAGTAAGATATTGTAATTATGTATTTATCTTTAATAGAGATTTATTACCTGAGCAATCACCTGATTTATTTCAAAAATGGATATTTCGATTTCTATATGAAATTATTGCTGCATCAACAAAGTATATTGAAATTTGCAAATCTTTTTATAATCATCTCATTTTGTATTTTAATATAGATATCCATTAGTCAGTGGTATTTATCGATTTGTTACATTAGTTATGAATATATGTTTAAAATTAATTTATTTCAAAGTATTTTTCTTATTAATTTTAAATTCAATATGTTTTGGTTTATTTTGTTAATAGTCTGATCGAATCGTACCAACAACTCGTGGTGGTATTGAAATGATGGAAACAGATATAAATGAAAATGAACAAGTATCATCTGTTTGTACATTAGTTCGACGATTTGCACATGAAGTACTTTCTCGACAAAAACAATATCGTGATGATTTACTTATTTCATGTTTACAATTGATTATGTCATTACCATCAGAATGTATTGATTATGATTTTGCTGATTATGTACCAGCTATTCAAGTAGATATTTTTTCTTCTTCTTTACAAACAAAAAGAAATAATTGTTGCTATTGCAATATTTTAGCTTGCGTTGAGTATTGGTTTAACTTATTTACCATTAGCTGAACAAACAATAAATAGTCTTGAACGATGGTCACAATCGACATCATTAAATTTACCTAATTTCTATGATCAAATATTACCATATCTAGATGATTTTCTTCGTTTATCTCATGACCAAGGTAATTAAAAGAAAAAGAAGAATGAGAACTGTATGATTATTATATAAATATGGACTATTTTAGGTGAAGATGTTAATGTTCGAGCTATTGTATCGGCATTACAAGAAAAAACACGTCTTAATTCAAAAAGTAAACATGTTCTACCTACAAGAATGATGAAAAAAACGAAACAGATCAAACACGTATGTTCAAGTTTATAATTATAGTTTAGTATTACTTATTTTGAAAAATAGATCCTTTCATTTGAACTATATTAGCTTCACTGAGGAAAAATAATATATTTTATCAATATAAATTAGCTCTCAGATTGTGACAGTTATCTTCTCGATCTAGATGATGAAGTCTAACTTAACTTTTTTTTTGAAATAGCTTTTTGAAGATAGTGATATTCGACGAGTACAATTTCGTATTTTTAAATATCTTGGTTCATTGGGCAATCGTATTAATCATTATCTTATTGATGATACTTCAAATTATTTAATTAAAGAAGCTGTAGCATGGGATAATGAAAATCATTTAACATTCAATGTTCCTTTCGATGATATAAAACCAATAATACATCTCGGTATATATATGTATTAATTATTCAAGCTTATATTAAATATTTCATGTTTTTTCTTTAGATATTTTTCTTCCTCGTATAGTCGATTTAGCATTACATAGTTCTGATCGTCAAACAAAAATTACAGCTTGTGAATTACTTCAATCAATAATGCTTTATATGATTGGCAAAAGTGCAAATAATCGAAGCAATGCAGCAGTTTGTTTTCTCATTTAAATTATAATAAATTTTTTGTTTTTTTTCTGTATTAGGCTTCATATGAAAAACTTTATGCTCATCTATTTCCAGCTGTACTCGAACTTTCATGTGATTCAGATACGGTATAACAAAACAAAACAATATCTTCTTTGTTTTTCTCTTATTTCTAATCTAATATTTAGTTTACAAAAACACTTTTTACAACATTTATGCTTCAAATGATACATTGGTTTACTAAAAATCAAAATTATGAAAATCCAGAAACAATGTCAATGCTTGATACATTTATGGTTTGAGATATTTTGTTTTAGTTCTCGAAATTAAGACTCTTAGAATTTTTTTTAATATAGGATGGTATGATATCGGGACGTAATGCATCAATAAGAGATTTCAGTGGAGTTTGTTTAAATGAATTTCTTAAATGGGCTGTTAAACATGCTGGTGGTTTCGATAAATTAGCTTATTTAAAAAATTCTACATCAATACTTAAACGTATTATTAGCTTTTCAATGCATCCAAATAGTTTTAAAAGACTTGGATCAACATTAGCATGGAATTCAATTTATACACTTTATCGGTAGAAAATATTTTCTTTTACAATAATTTATTTATTTTGATTATATTTTAGAGAATCAGATACTTTAGTTGATGTTTATACACTTCAATTACTTTATGTATTTGTTGAAAGTTTATCAATTGCTCAAGGAGATGATCCATCTCTTGGTAAAGTTTATAATTAATCATTTATCTATGAGATATCATATTAACAACCTTATATTTTAGGTACACAACAGCAAGCAATTGGTGCTTTATCTCATGTAGAAAGAATAATTAAAGAAAAACACAAATTATTTTATAAAGAAACACCTAAACGACATCGTCCACCGTAAGATTTTGTTTTCTTTCACGAAATATTAATTTAAGAGATTAACTTAGATCATGGACTAATGCTACACTTGATGTTGCTGTAGGATGGTTACTTAGACAATGTGGAAGAATTGAAACAGAATCAAGACGAAAATGTATTGAACTTGTTTCTACATTTATTCCATTATTAGAAGGTAAATAATTTTCTATTAAAAATGAACTAAATTAAATTTTTGTATTTGTATTATACTAGATATTCGATCGATTCGGGAATATTTTGAACTAAAAGTAAAATCTGATGGAAATATTTATTTTATTGAAAGGTAAAATAGAATAGAATTAAGAGAATATTTTATTATCGTTTTAATAAATTTTTAGATTTGAAGGAACATTCGATAAAGAGAAAAAAACAAAATTTAAGGCTAATTTAGCAAATCAAACATGTTTAATTGATATGAGTGAACAATTTTCGATATCTATTGTTTATCAATGGCTTGATACTGTCATTGCTTCACTTGATTGTTATACTTGGGTATTTTCTCAAGGATTTCTTAATCCACTTCTATTTCAAGGTAATTCATTTTTTCTTATAACATTCTTTATCTAATCTATCTGTTTAATTATAGATAATAATCAACAAAGTCGTTTAATTGTTGCAATATCATATTTTATACAAAAAGTTTCTATGAATACATTATATGATATAATAACTTATTTTCCACCTTCAAATCAACCACAAGTATTTACTCCAACTGATGTTAATCAATTTGAAACGTAAGACGAAAATTTTTGTGATTTTTGAATTTTATGTAATAATATTCTAGAGCAAAATGTACAGTTATTGTTCGTTTACTTAATTTTATTACAGCACTTTGGACAAAATATCCACAAGATACAATGCGAGCAATTGATAGTTCATTTTATAATAATGATTTAGTTAAATTAATTTTAACTTGTGTATTTAATCCAACACAACTGGGATTTGATATAAATAATGAAGAAATTAATAAAAAATTACCTGATAGAGTATGTTAAACAATTTTTCAATTGAACTGAATATTTTATAAAGGAAATATTTAGATAGCAAATCTACTTAAATCAATAACAAGTCATTTACCTGATCAATTATTACAACCATTCTACGATGTTTCATTAGAGATGACAAAGACAGATGGGTATGTAAAAATCTGAATAACCAAATATTAATCTTTTTTTTTGACTTCAAGACTTTACAATTTAACTAATGAATTAAATCAAAATTCTGTTCGTTGGTCTTTAATATTTACTATATCTCGTGGACATCGTCTTCTACATGATGTTCGTTTATTAGCTAAACCTAAACAATCCGAAGAATATGCAAAAGAACTTTGGACAACAATGTTAACAGTATGCATTTTTCATAGATTTTTCTTAATTAATCTAAATTTATATTGATAGAAAATGATTAATCATGACGATGATTTCGATAAAGCAAATCTTGTATTAACTGTTGATGTACAACGTGGTTTACAATCTCTATTTGATTATATCATCTATTTAGGCATTAAAGTATGATTCATATCTTTTAATAAATTTCATTTCTTATATTTATTCTTTAGCCAAATGAAGTTTTACCTTATTTTTTTCAATCAAATCGTATACATACAGATTCTGGTATGACAACAGTTGGTACTTATTTATTAACATTATTTAAACATCAAATAACTAGTTGGCTTGGTATAACACCTCATTTCATAATTGATAATGTTGGTGAAATCAATACTGTTGAACAATGTCGTCCTGTAGTTGTTTTTCTATCAACTGTTCTTGATTTATGTAGTCGAGAAAAAGATATTCGTCAACAATATGGTCGACAATTTGTTGATGGAATCTATACATGTTGGCCACAATTTTCTTCTCTTTATCAATCAACAAATCTCGATGATAAACTATTAATTGTTACATTACTAACAAAAACATTTATTATTGATAGTCATATATTAACAACACATGAACAATTTGATCATATATCTCAAATGTATTTATCTTTATTAATTGATAAACAATTAAATTTAACATTTAAAACACGTTTACTTGATTTATTAACATTTTTTGCTTCAATTGATACTGATGAAACTATGTGTGAAACAAAACGTCAAAAATGGTCGAATGATCTTTGTCGAACATTACATATATTTACAGCTGATTGTTTTCCATTGAAAAGTACGGAATTTCCTGTTGGTACACAAGAATATCATGATTATCAAGCAGCTATAAGAAAAATTCTTTCTGCACTTGAATTATCTTCGTCATTTATTTTATTTGAATTATTAATATGGATGTTATGTTGTGAACAACATCATATATTTGAAGAAGAAATTCTTCTTTCAATAAGTCGTTATGTTGTTAAATTAAATAATCAAATAAAACAAACAAATTTACTTGATTATATTTATTCAATAATATTTGGAAAGAATACACTTTTTCGTACTGAACATCGTTTAAATGCATTAGAAAAATTAATTTTAAAAATTTTAACATCGGTGAAAAAAATTACATTAATTGAATTTTATAAAAAATATATATGTACATTAGTTATTGATGAACTTGATATTAAACTTGATTTAACATCTCAAACATTAACATCAATATTAATTAATAAAGTTTGTACGTATCGTTTAATCGATCATATGTATACAATATTAAATAAAGATGATGTTTTCGGTGGTAATTCTTCAATAGCAAGAGTTTTTTATGATTATGTTAAAAAACAAGAAGAAGCACGAAAAATTTTGAATGTTGAAATACCAATGACAGCAGTTAAAATTACTGATAAATTTGATGGAAAAGAATTAACAAAACATGTTATTGCAAAGGCAAGAGGACAATTTGTGGATGGAAGACCATCGAAATCAATGGATGTTATGTTAGCAGGAATAAATACAATGGAAAAACAAATTAAAATACATTTAATACGAGCATTAGCAACAAGTTCATTTAATTGTTTAATTTCATTACTTATTTGTACACAAACAGAAGCAAAACTTTATAAAGCTTTTATTTTTGATTCAAATCCAACAAAGGTAAATGAAGTTAGATTTTCATAAGTAAAAATCTTGAGCATTAAACCTAGATAGCGATGTGGTGTAAATGAAAGTACAGGGGTTCATTTTATTTCTAAACCCTCATCCGCATCTTTTGTGTACCCCTTGAAAAAGCATAGAATATCTATAATTTACTTCGGTCTAATTAACGGCAGCGCTAGAATTCTTGACTAAGGTGAGCTCAGATAGAATATCATTGGTTTTTTTAAGATCTAAAAAAGATTTCAGGGTGGGCTGAGCCCATCCTTAGCGCCGCCACTAGGTCTAGTGTATTAATTCCAGGAGCGTAGCTAGAGGTGTTCAAAAAATGCATGTGCACACCCCTTAGGAAAAACGTACCTGTAGGGGAGCCGGGAAAACTATTCCACTCGAAATAAAAAATTATTTCCCTACAGCTGTGCATACCACTTGGTAAGTCAGGCAATTCCTGGGTACGCCCCTGATTAATTCTATTAACTAGATCTCTACGATTACTTTCATCTAACTGCAAGAAAAAAATCTTTGTTTTAGGATGAATATGTTTTTGAAAATTTAATCGATTCCGAACATAAATATACATTTCCACTGGAACTTGAACGTTATTATAAAAAAGATAAACGTACATTATTAAATATTTTATGTAAAAAAATTCTTACTTCATCAAAATTGGATAATTCATCTCAACAACGTATATCTAGTACACCACGTTATTTATCATCACAATATTTATTTGGTAGTAGTTTAACTGATGAATTAGCTGTTTTCGATTTTACATCAGCTGCTGTTAATCAACAACAAAATGATTTGAATAAAAGTCTTTCAACTTCTTCATCAGAACAATCGTCAGCAAATATATCATTAGAAAAAAAAGATTATGATGGACCAGCATTAATCGAAGGTTCAGATGATGAATTAGG